TCGGGCATATCCACCGAAAAAACGACACGCGGAAACGGAAGAAGGGACATATGTGCATTTATCGAAACGGCATAGCGAACACAGAAATAGGAAAGCACTCCGCGGTAAACACAGGAAGAGATAGCCAGGAAAGACAAGAACAAAGCAGATGCATTGGCTGGGGAAAGCTACACAAGAACGAACAGCGACTGGAAGACACAGTCGCGCAACACGGAGAAACTGCAGCCGACGAGTTTACGGGCACAGCACGCACCAGTGGTCACTTCAATCCCCGGCGCGTGTCCAACCTCAGGGTGGCCTGGTGTTTTGCTGTTGAGCTTTCGAAATTTCTTAATGTCGTTGATGGAGAGGTCGTACCCTGAAGGAAGCACAGGTAGCTCTTCGTGAGCTGTTGGGAAAAAATGTTGGGCAGAAGCAACTATATGGTACTGAAGGATCACTTATGTATTCTGCATTATGTAGGACAGAAGGCCACAGTTCGTGAAGTTCAAAATAGGTGGCGAACCAAGAAGGCGCTTCATCCTCAAGGAAATCGTGTGGTCCCAAGGGGACGGACAAAAAACAACAGACAGGGTGCGAAGACGGTTGTTTCTGGACTCTATCTGCTTTTATATTAACGAAGATAATCCAAACAGGAGGTAAAATACGGACACCTTCGTGCACTCAGTCTCTGTTTACACAAGCCGCAACAAATTAACGCGAACCTGCAAGGTGCAGCATCGTGTACTGAAGTACACAGGCGTGTCCATTGGAGAGGACAAATCTATCCCTGTTAAACCACCTTGGATCCTTCGCGTAGTACTTCATTACGTGGCCAAACAGACAATGGGCCATAGGCGCACAACCGATAGGAGCCCCAGGGTGTCCACTTTTCGCCGCCTAGAGACCAATACACAAATCAGGTTGCAAGCAAGCAAAACACACCTATGAAGCCGACGATGAGAGAAAATAAGGCAGAAGCACACTGTTATACCCGCCAACGCGCGAGGTTTCGAGTACACATTAATGTAACTACTTCGTGTGCGCACAAGCATTTCTCTACCACGCCCAAAATTGTTGCTGCAGAGATAAGAGCACACCACCGAGTTGTGTGGCTTCTGTTGTTTCGCATCGATAGAAGCTTACAGCCGGAGCGTCCGCGCCAAAACCTCGGATGGTATTGACACAGACTTCATCTTGGTGAGTTATTGTCTCCGTCATTTGTTTCTTCGCCGAAATAGAGGTCTCGTTGGACAGCCCGTTTTCAGTGCTCTTCCTTCTTACGGCAACCATTTTGCCTTCCTGCGTAGTTTCCTTCTCCGGCGTTTAACCAGCGCCTCACTTTTGCTTATTGCCTGTTTGCGGGTCCTTGTCTACCTGAAGCTGCCCCGTCAAACCACTTCACCGCCGAATTCGTCGATTAGCTTTCCTATCAAGTTGAGGCACTGGAGGTAGAAGGCAACTTTTTTCCTCAACTCTATCAGGTCAGATGATTCTACCAACCTACACCAACNCACTGGAGGTAGAAGGCAACTTTTTTCCTCAACTCTATCAGGTCAGATGATTCTACCAACCTACACCAACGCATTAAACGGCACACAAGCACCGGTAAACTGTACCTTACGCCGATCAAATACACAAAGGGTTATTTTGGAGATGCTTGCATTGCGATACAGAAAATGTTTGGGTGTGCACACGTCATGGTCATTTGGTGGACTCCTTGTACTGATTGTCTGCTCGGTGTATGTGCGTATTTCACGTAGAGATCCACGCACGAGCAAAAATAGATGTGCACGTGTACGCATGCATCTATGCAACACAGACGTAAGAAACAAAAACCCGAACACGAAGTCGCCCGTGTTCAGTTGAAACTGCACGTACACCGCGATCCTCGGAACAGCGTTATGTATGTTTGTACTTTCTTCCCAAACGATCCAATTTACTGAACCGTCCCCTTGCTTTTGTTGAGTACAAATTAGGAGAGATGTGCGCGAAGTAGAACTCAACGAATTACGTTGGTTATGTACTTCAGCAACCAGAGCCTTTAGGCAGACGGCAGCTTCCTTCGGTCCTCGGAAGCACACGGTTGTAACGCTGCAAATCGGAAGGGCAGAAAACGCAAGTGACATGACTTACACACGCAGTCAACTTTGACGACGAGGAGGTCCAACGCAACACACCTCACAAATGCAGTCAACTGAGGATGTAAAGGAGGAGGACTGAATGTTGCACGTAACGGCCCTAGTGCAGACTGCATATTTACACATCCAAANGATGTAAAGGAGGAGGACTGAATGTTGCACGTAACGGCCCTAGTGCAGACTGCATATTTACACATCCAAACAGAAACTGTCTGGCCGACGTGATACACTGAAAAACTGATCCACTGACGCCTGCCAATGCAGCTGTGGGGTAACTGCGCCGCGCCTCCTCCCCCACCGCCCAGTTCAGGAACCGGAATGGCACTCACTGTTTGTGGGCAAAATTCGCATCAAAGAAAATATCTAGGGAGCCAAAAAGGTGATGGAAGTCTGCCGCAGAATCTACAACTCTGTCGGTGTCCTTCCGGATTCCCATCATTATGGGGACAAAAGGGGCGAAAGGTTATGCGTGCATTTGTCTATTGGACACCTAAATCGTTGGTATGCCTTAAATTGCATTTAAATTCACGGGATTAACTTGCCCCAAAAGTAAACATGCCGCGAGGAATACTGCGTCATACCGTTTGGCGTTCTGCTGCGATCGCGCACGATGCTACCAGCAACCCCCTTCCTCTTGAAAGTGCTCGGGTGTGTGGTTTCTCACCTTGTTTTACATTCCACAGTAGCAGTACCACGTTGATTGACTCAAAACTAGACGGATAGACGCGCAAGTCTCTATGCTGAATTACCCAGGTGTGTAGAGTGTATGCACGCTCTGACGGTGGTGAGTGCTGCATGACTGATTGGGGACCGACAGACGGACCTAAACAAAGCTCGTCTGCTTAGCTTTGGTTCAGTCGTGTATAATTTTTCCACTTCCTTGGTGGTCGGTTTGGAATTCAATGAATAAAACAGTGGAAACTTGAAAAGAAACGGCTGTTACAGTAGCTTCACGCTAAACTCGCGTGTAGTGTAGTTCGCACTGACGAAGAAGCTTAACTTCGCCGAGTAACAGCGCTAGCAGTAAACTAATATATGGATATTAAACAAGAATACTTACTGGTTAATAGACCCAACTTCTATGGATAACAGCTGTGCTTGTAAACCCGTCGTAGTATACTGTTGGAGAATGTTGTAATGGTGTAATGAGAGCCTTCTGTAGCCTACAGTTAGCACAGGAACATTCGCTCAGCCTTGATATGTTGCCTGCAAACAAATTCAAACGCTATATATGCGTATACAGAGGCAAATGCTGCAGTAAAGGAAACTTCGTTGGAGCTTCCGTGCGTTCACAAACGATGCTGCGTTGTACTGCCAGCCGCGGCGAGGTGAACGGCAACTCCAGTTAGCCTGCTTCCTCTCCCGCAACTCGAAGCCCTGAGCTCAACGCCCAGGATGGCTGGGGACAAGGGGAGGAGATCAGCTGCTTTTGAAAAACTCTTACTTAAAGCATTTATCTTCATTGCATCCCGCTGCTGTCCTTGATTAGGGCCGGAAAGCTAGAGTTACACTTCCCGGCCTTATTGAATGCAATGCCGNTGCAACCCTAGTTAGGCTGCATCCTTCCTGTAGTAAATACTCCCTACATTCACTGCAACAATACCTTGCTCATGCAGCAGGAGTGAGGATTGGTTGAGCAGTGGAAGTGGATGTGGGGACAGATTAATGTTTTCTAAGCGCTTAATGAGTATACTAGAAATACACCCCTTTTGTTTACAAAAGGGGTGTATTGTTATGACTACACCAGACGCTGGCATGAAACTTGGTGCAAAAGCTGTTGCAACTTACCAGGCCATCTCCTTTCCCATTCTCTGGAGCTGCAGTGCCGGGTCTAGTGGTGAGGAGAGTAGTTTCTCCGCTAGTGTTATGTTGCGCGATTGTTCTTTCTCTAAGCTTTGTCGGCTTTTGTTGTTTGCCGAATCAGATGAGATGTTTGTTTTTCTGCAGCAGCAGTGAAGTTACTTGAGGGTGTCGCTCAGCTTATGCCAGCCAGCGCGTTATACTCGGCAGTGGGGATTGACGGATGCGCCCTGCAGTTGACTTTCAGAGGAGCTGCCCATTATTGAGTCAATAATAATTGGTATAATAGATCTGAGCGTGATCATCTTCATCAACGTGAACGAAACCCGGCATAACATGAGAGGAACTGAGGGCTCAGCCCAGGCATCATCAGCTTCCTTGGCCCGGAGTACCTCCATTATTACTGTTCCACAACACCCCATCTTGTGAGAGGACTCAGATCCCCACTGGAACTCACAGTTTGGCTTTTGTCTGCGTGTCGTTGGGGGCGCAAGACGCACAGCTGCGGACATTGTTTTGATGCACCTACTGATGAGCGTGTTCTCCAGTTCCAAGGGCCCTATGATCCCTACGGCCACCTTAGCTGGCTTGCCATAGGTGAGTTTCTCACACTTCTCCGTTACCCCAGGCCAGGAGCTGAACGCGCACGGTGCCTGGGAACAGGGAAGGGAGGTCAGCTCCTTTTGTAAAAGCTCTTACATCAAAGCCCTGGCATCATTGCAGCTCGGTTCTGTCCTTGAATAAGGCCGGACGGCACGCTTTACACTCGCTAGAGCGTCAAAGGCAATGCAGCGATCCGAATGCTGACGATAGTTCCCTGCAGACGGTCTGCTGCAAAAACGCTTACAAAGGGTCCATAACTGCCTGAAACGAAAATGATTGTGTGTAAGCGCCTGCCTGGAGAGGCCCACGCTGCTGCTGCTCTGGCTGGTGCTGTTGTTCCTGCTGCAGCGGAACCGGAAGCCGCTATCGTAGCTCCACTTTCGGGGCGAATATTCGTTTACAGCAAAACGAATTCACGTTATGAGCATAATGCCGAGAGTGGTAAAGGGTGGGAATTCTCAGCTCTTCCAGCTGTTCCTCCAGGGGGGCATGAGTGGGCGGGTGCGAGGTGAAGGCAGCATGAGCAAAGCTGAAAGAAAGCACAGCAGGGACCGATTGTGCATCGCTTACAGGGAGTAATGCATAATTCGAGAGAAGAGAGTTGCAGAGAAAGCTGTGCCAGAGCTGCTGCTGTCGCTGCCGCCCAGCAGCCTGCATCCAGTAGCGAGGCTGCCGTGGATAACGCGGTCGGGATCGCAACAAGCAACACTGGCCTATAATACAAACTTGTATACGCACGCAGTTAACTCCAGGCTGATCTGTGGGTGCGTCTGTCATATCTGTCAGCCCACTCGGTGCGCAGCACGTTGTTTGGGGGATCTGGGTGCTTCTCTGGTTGCCTAGTGTGTTACCTGGCGCCTCCATTCGAGGTTTGGCTTCACTTGTTCCTTAGCCCTTTTCATAAGCTGACAATCTCGAAACATGCGACCACGTCTATGGAAAAGAAGCAGACGCGCCGTTGGATATCTCCTTCCGGTGTCCTGTGGGTTAGATTCGCTATTTGCTGCCCGCCGCTGCTTTTAATCCCGCTCCGAGAGGGCCTAGCATTCACAGTCCCAATACCCGTAGGTTCTGGCTCGGAACTGTCCCCATGTTTGCCTTCTCCCTTCTTCTCTAGGGTAGTCAACAGTGTCTCCAATTCGTTCCGGCTCCGTGGCCCAGCCACCTACCAGTTTTCTCTCAAGGGATGGCAGCCCTGCGATGAACCGTTGATACTTAGGTTTGGTCTCAGCAGACAAACTTCTGTTCACCAATGAGTGGTACTGCTCAATGTAACGATCTATCGGCATTTGCGCTTGTTGAAGTCTTCGTACTCCTACCATATCCGGCGCCCTTTCTAACGTCGGAATAAACCTGTATGACCTCGGAATAAACCTGCATCACAGAACATCCTGCAAGGCTTGCATGGACTGCATGGAGCTGAAATGTCCTGAGNTCATCCCTTTCCAGCAGAGAAGATGCCAGTAGGAATTGTACGTCCTCAGATGCATTTTGAAAGTGGAGGTGTACAACGCCTCCGCATCACTGCACCCGCCCTATTGCAATGGTCCACATACTCGAAGACACTCCTCCTGAATTGATTTTGGGGAAAGTGCTTCTTCCCGAGGCTTGGGTGTTGAAATCGAACTTGCTTCTACTCGGCGAGGCTGCAGGCCGTCCGAAGCCACCCCATATGAGGGCAGATGATAATTAATCTCTATTGGGTAGAGATGAAACAGCTAGAATTTGAAAACCAGTTGGCCTATCGCAGCTGCTTCGACGAACTATGCGGTGCTACCAAGTGTAATGCGTGCTTTCTGGCCTTATTCAACGCCTAAAGCGAGCTGCATTGAAGCCAAAGACTCGAGGTAAGTGTTTCTCCAAAGCAGCTGACCCCCCTCCCCTATGTCCAAGCATCCTTGGCGTTCAGCTCAGGGCCTGTATTTGCCGGGGAGGAGGCTGCCTAACACGAGCTGCAGCAGCTGGAGATGCAAGCCAGCCCCACCTGTGATCATAAGGAAGCTTGAGGGAAGCTTTATCCCTGTATACACTTCTGCAGCATTTGTATTTGCTTACATGCAGTCTATCCAATGTTCCTGTGCTAACTTAAGCCAGATCATGCTACCTCAGGTACTGACACGCCCAAGTTACGCTTGTAGGTAAATCACAACACTCAATACGAAAATAGGGTACGCAAGAAGAAGCAAATTCCGTGGTTAGCTGGAATTGACAGCGACAATCCAAAATTGCGAGAAACTGAGTTCTGGATCTTGTCGGGTTGACTAACCGTTGGAACCCCCTTGATGCTCCAGGGGCTAGTCGCCGGCCCGAGCATGCTACTGTGGCTGGTTGTTGTCTGTTCCTTCCCAGCGGGTTGTTCGCGCCAATGGGTGCTGTACGGTAATCCGCTCTAACGGACTGTCACTAACTGGCTTACGTGTATCAGTGAACTCAATATCTACTGTTCTATCGAATTAATGGTTTCGCCTCTCTAGCGAAACTAATGGAACCTCGGGCTCGTCCAGCGGCCGTCAGCGCAACCCCAAACCGGAACTGAGTTTCTCATAAATCACGGGAACTAGTTGAAGTTTGACTCTCCCTAGGCGTTCGTGTTCCGATTTCACGTTTCACTAGCTCGTTTTCTTTCATTTATCGACGTTTGTCTCCATTCGTCTGCCATAGCACAACGGTGCCTGCCACAATGGGATAATCAATTTCTCCTGTTATTTAGTTTCCCTTAAAGGGAGTTACCCTTTATGACTCTTAGAATCGAAATTCCGGAGCTCCGTGCAAAAATTTCAGCAGTAAACCTGGAGGTGACCGTTGATACCGCAGGGTACTGCTGACCCTCGTCAGCATCGACCCATCCAGCGGTCGCCAGCGCATACCACAAACAAGAACCCAGTCCCTCAGAATTTCAAGCACGACTTAAATTTGAGTTTCTCATGACGCTGTGTATGGCTGGTTATGGCATATTCCGGTTCGACTCAAATCTCATGTAACTGGATTGTCTCATCCGAACGGGCAAAATCTCGAAGACCTATCGAAGTGTCTATGGTCCTCAAACTCTTTCATACAAAACCGTTCTTCCAATGAGAGTTTGTTAGGCAAATTCGTAGAATAGAAACACGAAGTCCTATATTAAAAGATCCTCTAACGAGCCTCGGGGGTACCCTGCGGAGCCGCAGGGCATTACAGCCTCTGCACTAAGCCGGTTGGCTCCGCCAGCAACCACGATTCGCAGCAGTGGCTGATCAGCAGAAATCAATGAGAGAGTACAAAAAGCTCAACACGCACATATTCGGTAATCTGAGGGTGGCAATCGGCCGTCGTGTATCGTTTTTCTACACCGCAGTTCGCCGAGTCCCTGTGGTGGGACGTAGTCTTCAGTCTCTCCAGGTTCCTAAGATGGGTGTCTTCTTCATAATCTACAGAATCGCCACCACTAAAGCATTACTGCGAATGAGTATGTATTTCCCACAAGCGTCCGACTTTTGGGGGATCCAAGGACACCGACTGTCGATTTCTCCTGGTCTGTGATCTAAATTGTGGGGACTACGGAAGATGCTGGAGCCGCTGCGGCCTACTGAAGGGAGGAATCCTCAGGTGGTGGGGGATGATGCGGCACATGACAGCTTTGTAGCAGTTGGACAGAATTTAGAAGAAGAAGCACTCCCTATGGTCTCTATAGAGCACCCATTTGGCCGAGCGAAGAGCAGATCAAGGTTGCGGGCAGGATTGATTGTAACCGTTGGATTACTGCTCTTAGGCGGCTTGGTTGGTAGACGGAGCATTGTGGCTCTGGCAAGGGGCCCCATGGAAGAAGGGAAGCAGCTTCCTCGTCCCGTAGCAGAAGGTTCCGCTCCAGCCGTAGAGGAAGTTCTTCCTCCTCAGCCAAGGAGCGTCGAAGAGCAAGCTCAAACAGAACCAGAAGAACCACACCCACCAGCTGAAGGCCAACCGTTGGAAGAGGCGCCGACACCACAAAAAAGGAGACTACAGAAAGTGCGAGAGCTCCTCCCCAGCGCGGAGAGGTTATCCAAACTGCTCAGCAGGCCTCAGGCAGATAGTCTGTTACAGCGTTTTCAAGAGGCACTCGTGCAAAAACGACCAGCGCAAGGTCAGCCGGAGAGCGCGGATGAAATAGAGTTACATGTTGAGAAGGCTTTGGAAGCCCTTCGCACGTTGCATCTTTATGGCGTCGAGCGAGTTCGCGCAATTATGAAGGAAGATGAAGCTCTTGGAAGCTTTCCCGATATGGGGGACCTCGAGACTACATTGAAGGAGGAACTATTCGACGAAGGCGAACGCGTAACAGAGGACACCGTGCTACGCATGGTAGACACGTTAATGTCGATCCAGCAGACGGCTGAAGATGCGCACACGCAACTAGTTCTTGTCTGCCAGTTTTTGGCAACCCACGCATTTAGAACAGAAGAAGACGGAGACTTGCTGACTGGCGCTGCACCCGACATTGAGTACCTGCTGCACAACGTCCACTTTCGCTCATATCTCTATTCATCTGCAGGCACTTTAAGGGAGCATATTTTGGAGGGCATCAGGGCAAAAGTGTTGAGGGAAATCGAGGAGGTGTTGTTGCCCCTTGAGGGAAAAGTGAAGCTGCTACGGATATCCGTTGATTCGGCAAGAGTTTCAAAGAATAGAGGAGCAGGAGAATCATCTGAAGCAGCATCTGAACTCCAGGATGTGGAATGGCAGCTGGAACAGGCGGAAGCTTTGGCAGCGGGAATGCGCAGACAACTCGGTGACGTTGTAAGGACTAGCTCGAATGAAGATATGGCTCGGTATTGCAAAAAGGTAGAGGAAGTG